TCTGGGGCTGGCGATTTGCTAAGTTCGCACAAGTCTCTCGTTCCTATTTGCTTGCGAACTTGACACATTTAATCTTTTTGATCTCTTTATCTTTTCGGGGAAGTCTCTTGTTCTTATCCGCAGACGAAGTTGACAAGTAGACGCTTTTTGACATCACCTTGTGGTGGCATGACAGCACCACTACTGTAGAATGAGGTTAAGATGAGCACACACCTTCAACTTGGGCAGTATTTTTGATGCTTCCTGGGAATTGTGAAGTCACTCAATCTTGAAGTGGGGATCGTAATGGGCCTAATCACTCAGCTTGAATTGGAGATCCTCGAGTAGGGATTATTTTGGGATAGGAATTTGATCCATTGTCGCCAGAGGATCTAGAGGTAAATCTCTTTAGCAGATATGATGCAAAAGAAAGCTAAGACTTTCCACAATACTCTTCCGTTGCGGGTGTCCTGAGTTGCATTTGTAGCATCCACGTGGCAGAAGGACTGGCATCTAGGGTGCGGTGTGGGTCGCAATCAAACTATGAAACAACAGCTTGTCCCCATACCTTCCCCCGAGCGGCCCAGGGCCCTGTCTACCGCCGGGTCGCTGGCAGAGAGCCGGGCTCGTCGTGGAAGTTGAGTGCGGTAGCCTAGTGGACGTGGACATGAGTGTGTGCTCTCCAATAGATTTTGGCATGGGTCTTGGGGTGTGGGGCATGGCTGACATTTTGGGAGGCAAACTTGGATCAGCCAAACTGCTCGCAACAGAGCAAAGATTTACAACGGTGTATGTAATTGTAATGGTTTTCACATTGGAACGGTGATGTCAACAGTTTCATCCCACGGAGGTGCATGCTGACAGGTCCTGGTCCCATGATGTCAGACGATTTGTTTTTTGGAAGAACTGTTCTTCCTAATGCTCAACAGGCTCGTTTTCGGTCTCAGATCGATCTCTCGATTCCTCTCTCCGTCGTCCTGGTGGGATCATCTTGCGTTTGAAAGAAAGAAAGAAACAAAGAGAGAAACTGAGAAACACATTTCATTCTGCCCATGCGAAGTACCCAATACAGAGGTCTCCCGGTATTCGCTCTGTTTAGGTTCTGTTGAGGATGAAGAAGATGGAGATGATGAAGAAGCCAGTGATGAAGATGAATGAGGCATGCCCACAAGTGGCTTCCGAGATAACCCTGCAGTTGCTTGAGATTATTGTCGCTTCGGCCATGGTGGTACTTTGCGCGAGAGTTTGTGTGTTCAACTGTTTTGGCAACATAGGCCATTTGATGTGAAGTAACTCCCACAGGCAGACACACAACTCTCAAGGGTAGATGTGAATTGACGATTTGACATCCAGCTGTAGTTTTGTTGAACCTGCATCGATCAATATTAAAATTATCCGCAACAGCGCAAGCTTTTGTCGCAAAATACATCAACATATATACGTCAAGTGACTTGGGAACATGCACTTCCCATGCCATTCTCAGTGCTAGAGATGCTTGGAACACCATGTTGTCCGGAAATGGAAATCACCCTGAGCCAAAGGCTCAAGGCTTGTGGCACAGGACGGAGTGAGGAAAGCCCGACCAAACTGGGAAGCGGCTAAACATCTCTCCATCGAATGCTTCAAAACCCCGAGAAGGAAAGACCTGCAGAGCCTAGCAGCCCAGTGGACCAGGTGATCCTGGGATTGCCGCGGGGATCTTCGATTTCCATCTTGGCTCCAATGGGTTGATCCCAAATGATCCCTACTTCCAAGTGTCTGAAAGAAGAGACCTAAAGGACGTCCGCTGTTGGGGCAAACGTGGGCAACACACACAGCCATGTACCGTGTCTCAAGGAATCTTTTTTCTGCAACAGATACTCAGTAGAGGGATATTCCACGACACAAGATGAACGTGCCGATCGAGCATCAATGGCTTCTGGAACATGGTCTCCCAGAGTCTTTCGATTGCGGCGTCGATCTTTGGATGTGAGGTGGAGTATCAATTCCGTAGTCCGTTCGTCTTCTCAATTCCCACCTGTGATCACAAACACAGCCGTCTCACACATCGATAGCTCAGAGCTGTATCAAGCCATACACTTGTAGCTCTGAGAAAAGGAGCCAGCTGAGCTGCAGCACCAGCGCGCAAAGCCATCTACGGTAACGTTTGTGTTTGATATATTTGGCTACTCTGTCGGCTTGTGAATGGGCACTGCATATTTGTTGTATTCATTCTTGCTGAGGGCCTGACACCAAACGGTTGATTTCTCCCAGTTGAACCTGCAAAATGGGACCGGTCTTGTATTCCTGCCACGCTCATCCCGGAACCGATGCCATCGCTGCTGGCATTGCTTGTGGGACTAGACTTTGGGTTTGTCCTATTACTTACAATCATTAAACAATTAACTAACACTCTTTTTTAGACAAGGCCTCTACTAACCATCATCAGTTACTGCTACTCGTAATAGGATAGACTCAAACTAGACTCATCATTTTGGTACATTAATGAACACGACATGACAAGGAACATGCATGAAAAATAGCATGACCACCATGTGCGCCTGCTACATTCTGCTATATACATGTCTCCGCAGGCAGCGCAAATGGTCCGAAGTCCAGCATCCGCTGGGTGCCAATGGTTTTATGCGCGGAGAAAGCGTTGACCGCGCGGCCGGCGCAGAGAAAAAGTGGCTCTGCCAGGGGTCTGCAGACCGAAGACGCCGAAGACGTTTTCGTTGGAACACGGACATGAGATGAAGTCATGACCGGCATGAGCTGAGAGATGAAGGACTCCCAAAATAGGCCAAAAGCGGATGAGATTGGATGGATCATTGATTTCAAGAGTCACATGGCGTTTTGCGAGGGATCCGGGTCCACCAGGTCCATAGTCCCACACTCATTAAGTCATTACATATGACAGGGATTTTTTTTCCAAGTTTTGATTGTGATACTTCATGGATTTGATTTCCTGAGCGCGAACCACATGTATCGCTTGCACAAGAGAAATCTCTCGTGCACTATGGGAGGCACGTTCCAAAACCTGAGGCAAGCTCACACATCTAAGGCATGGCCACCTAGGTAGTGGTGATGCACGGAGTGATGCACGGAGACATCAGAAACGAAGCCAAACCTACTAAAGTGCCAAATGTAATTAAAGGCAATATTGTTTGAAGTGCAAATGACTTCCGTCCTCAATCCCATACATCATTTGCCAGGAAAAGGCACTGCTTACTGACTGTATCCAGGAACTGAACACATCAAAGAGAGCAGGTCAGGGGGCCAGTGTTCCATTTCCATCATGTCCCCCGAAAGGTCAATGGAAATGACAATGATTAATTTAATGATTAATTCTTGCTCTTTGAATCTGACAACCCCAAATATCTAGCCCATGCCTCCGAGGATGGGGTAGTTGAGCACAAGAATGCAGGACCCTCCGAGTGAGGCTGAGAAGCACTTCCTTACAAGGCAGAGTCACGCGAGTCGCATCCGGGGTCAAGAATATGGTTGATTAGGATTGATTTGATTCACTGAACATCTAGGGAAGTGGACATCACAACAGCAACAGTACATGTTTGGTGGGGGGATCCGGCATCTTCGGCTCTTGATATCACTTCAGGTTGATTCACTTTTTGGTTGCCTTTACCTTTTGGCCGCTAGTCCTCCATATGTTTGCTGTGTTTTGACTTTAATTTGTACATGTATGTATAACACAATCGCAAAAGCATCAACCTTATGTGATCTGTGTGTGTGCGTGAGTGCGCGTGCGCACTCTTAGAATGTCTTAGATCGCAAGATCGATCTCTCAGGACAACGGGCCTCGCTCGAGTCGAGACTCGTCTCGCCGTCGTCTTCATTCCGAGGCGCTTCTTCCCCTCCAAAGTGGGTGGTCGGCCGGCGTGGCGAGGGACACCCAGCGAGCCGGGGCGAGACCTCGAGACCGTCCTCGTTGGTTTCTGGGACCGACCTCGGGACCGTCGGGAACATGCGAAGGAACATCGTCGGTTCGGTCTTGACGTTCGGGTCACAGAATTTCCGATGATCTCCGATGTCGGTGGAGAGCAGCGGAGCTGTTTGATCAGGCTGATTCCAGAGAAGTTGCCGGTGGAAGAGCAGCTCAAATGTTTGAGGCCTGGATTGGCCTGGCCGCTACTTCAGTGCGATGAGCTAGATCCAACCTTGTGTTGGCTGGTTGAAACTGTGAGCCCTCATTGCAGCCGTTTGCAGGGTGGCAGGCAGCTTGACTGGTAATCAAAGGGGATGATGGCAATCTCAGACAGGTTTCTACTCTGATTGAAAGAGAGATGAGGTGTTTCTGAGATGGCATTGACCTTAATATATCTGCAATGCCAACATGTCAAATGCCAGGGCATTTTGGAGGTATTGAATGCTCCTTGGTGATGTCTTGCCCGTAGAGGTTGCACCGATTTCTCATTGACACAGAACCATTTTGGTGCTGTGACCAGGTGTGGATGCCCACTTCGCTTTCTGATGCAGGTGCCGGTAGAAAAACTATCGGCATTTTGTTGTCACCTTTTCTTACTCTTTGAGTATGTAGGGAATCTAGGGTACAGCATCTTGCCAGTACTTTTTGAAGGGGCAGTCATCAACAATTATTTGTCATGATGGGCTGGGCTATTGTCTCTGAAGTCTCTCAAGCAGATGTATATTATATATATATTATATGAAATATATGGATGTCTCAGGGCTTCTCAGAGGGCACTTGTGGCCGTGGAAGGTGCCTGATAGTGAAGCCAATCTCAAGCCCCACAAGGATTTTGACGGCTCAAACGCATCTCCACCTGGAAAATTATGTTCAACAGCAATCGCCTGGCCTTGCAGCTGGCAAAGCATTGGTTTTCAAATCTATTTTCACAACGCTTCCTTCAAACACCATCATGGAAGCAGAACAGAAGGTAGCATGGGCTGGTGAACCTCAGAGGGCTTGTCATCATTCTTTGCCTCAAGTCTTGCCGTGGTATGGAAGAGAGATGATCGTGTAAGTTTTACTCCCCTGCAGATTAACATGACCCCCCCAAAAGCACTGGTTGATAGAGAACAAGCATCTTTGTACCATTGTGAGGGTCCGTGTTAGTTTGGAGTGTCACATAGATGCTCAGGCGACGAAATGTGCGTTTCCATCCGAACAGGGCTCCTCCGCCAGGTTTCGGCTTCACAGGGCTCTTGGAAGGAGCCGTGTTTCCGCGGTGCAGACGGCGATGCGCCATGAGAGGCGAAAAGGACAGATGACGAGAGAAGGTCCGGCTCAGACGAGAGAATGAGAGATGGTCCGGGTGAGGCCGTGTGGGGTATTCTTTTTTTGAGTGGGACCTTGATTGACCCACTGCAACACCTTTGAACCTTAGAGTTGATCCCAAAATAACATCAAAGCCATTTTGAGTACGATTCACATATTCAGAACCTGGGAATGAGGTGCACGAACTCCTTTGCTCAGCTGCGCCGTATCGTTGTGCCATGTTGTGCCCGTGTGCGAGGAGTCCTGCTTCCACCGGATGTTGCATCTTTTCGTGTGTACGAGTTGCCAGCCCAATGAGGTCAGGCCAGCGACGATCCGGTGATTCGGTGCGTGAAACGGAAGACGTGGATGACGGGACGCTTTCAGCGTCCCTGAAAGAAACGATTGCAGGGAATCCATCTCACAAGCTCTATCTAATATTTCAGGTGAACTTGGGGAATGCAAGATATGCGACAACACATTTTGCATTGAGATACATGGACTTCTCATTTTGACGGTACCGTTGCTCCAAACAAGCTCGATCGGATGAGACCGGATCCTCAAGTCAGATCGACTTGTCTGGACCTTGGGAGAACAGCTGGTCGAAGCTGGTCCACGGTCTCGCTGGTGAGCCACCAAGATGGACCATTTGTGTTGATGTAACACGTTTTATGGAAGTGGTTCAATCTGGTGGTGATCTTAAGAGAATCTCTTGAACAGAACGCTTTTGGTTATTTGGAAGCACCCGGCCAAGATTCAAGTTGTTGCTTGACAAGATTTGTGGGAGAGCTGTCCCATTCGGATCCTCTGCCCACTTGGTTGAAACTACCAGTCAATTAGTAGTGGATTTGTTCTGTACGTTTGTTTTTTTGGTAAACATGGATTTAAGCATTTCACTGGTATTATATATATATACACACTTCAACTGAACGCATTCTTTGATGCAGAGGGCGTGCCAACCTTAAGTGAGAATCCAATTCAGACAGTGAGCTCTGCTGTTTCCACTTAGCCTTTGCGAGCTCTCATGACCCCGACAGCTGCAAAGGGAGTCCTCCTGGTTCAAACGCGCTTCTCCTTGTTCACTCCCTAAGAATTTCTCCTGGTGGTTCAACCTGCATGATACCCGCAATTATTGTGTTTTGATGTTTGTATTCTTTTTGTTTACGTTTCTCTTTCTATTTTATATATACCATTTCTTCTTCTTCTTCTTCTTCTTCATTTCTCTCTCTCCCTCTCTCTCGCGGTTCATCCATGTGCTGTAAAACAAACGACTGCAGATGGTGGATGCACCGGTATGCACACACCCTCCAACGCCACCTCCTCCGCATTCCCAACCACCGATCTTCGCTGGGCCAGGCGCGGGTCTTTCGTGCCCAGCTCCCCCGGACCTGCTCGGGGGACTCGGTGTGGTCTAGACCTGCACTGACCACTGAAGAAGACCTCATGACATATCACTCAAGTTTCACAGAGCAGTGCGGTCATATTACTGATGGCATGTGAGTAAAACTGCACCCCTGGATGTTTTGGACCTGAAGGTGCAGTTTTACTGATTCGTGTGCAACAAAAGTGGCAAGATGCCTGTAAACCGGGTGAGTTGCAATGACATTCCCTTGTGGAACGGAAACAGCTTCGCAACCCAGGGCGATGTTGGTCTTTTGCTGGCCTTCCCAATGTCAATACGATCCACGCTCAGGCCCGTACTACAGTTCTGAGGAGCCAGATCGAGAAGCCCTGGTCCTAGCTGAGGACCAAACACTAAGACAAATATTACTATATCTATATTTATATATGTTATTAAAAACAACTATATTTGACGTTGGTTCGGTCATCTCGGGATTTCTAAAGATTAGATTCGCATTCCTTTGAGTCCGATCTTTGCGTGAGTCCTGTGGCCAGTAGTGAGAATCACCAAGTTTGGGCCCTTAAACAGCTGATCTTCCGCAAACTTGTCTAGAAAAGGTGTCCAATCAGGTGTCCAGTGAGAAGCACCTGACCTTCTGTCCAATTTGGACACTTCCTCCATCAGTGGACATCCTTTGGAGTCCTTCGGAGTCTTTTGCAAAGCCGTTCCGACTCCAGACCGTTCGTATCTCATTCACGTCTGACATGTTTTGGTTTCACTTGACTCAGCTGCCAACTTGGGTCGTTGGAAACTCCAAAGACCTCCTGGGGCCATCCTCACCACGTCCGAGGCTGTAGGCTTGCAGCCAGATCCGCAGCTGGAGGCACGCTTGGACAGGTTCTGTCCTGTCCTGTCTGAAAGATCTCAAAGCTTGAGGAAAACCAATCTGTTTGAGCGTGCACCAATCCTCTATTCAGACAAGTACCAGGATCTATTCAGTGAAGTTCTCGAATACCCTATACCATCTACACCCAAGTCTGGTCGGACTATAAGGAGCATCCTTTGGGGGAACCAACCCTATGAATGATTTGTCACCATGTTAAGACTGACTTCCTTTATGGCCCCCTGTACAAGACAGCACAGGGCATGTGGGATTAGTCGGCGAGCGAGTAAGTCATGAAGGGGTCCTAGTTCAGTGAATCATTACACTCTGACCAGATCCAAGTTTCCCGGTTCCTTGGCAATGGAGCTTCAACGAAGCTGTCTACAATGCAGGCTATAAAGCTGTCATAGTCAGGCATTTTATCCAAGAGCTTTGGACATTTTTTTGTCATTTCTACATTTGGCCCGTGGGGTTGGGTGGTTGGGTCATTTGAACTGCCATCAGTGCTGCCAGATGATGCAAGATGTATTGATCACCTAGATGTGCTGGGCGCACCGGATGCGTCTGAGGCGCTTTGCTGCCAGGATTGTGGGCTTCGGTCCAGTTGGGAGACCCGGGCAGAACAGCCACGGCTATGTTAACAGGAAGCGCCTGGTTCTGCACAGGATGGTTGAAGCCGATGTATGACATTGTATGAGCGTCCTGCAGCTTGACCCCGTAATGATGTGCAGGGTTGGGAAAGGCAAATGGCGGCCATCCCCGTCGTGCCAAAGTATTTTTTGGTTGAAGCCCATAACATACAGCGATTAGGTTGGAGGCCATTGCTATTAGGTTGGGGCCATCGCTATTAGGTTGGAGGCCATCGCTCTTAGGTTGGAGGCCATTGCTACTAGGTTGGGGCCATCGCTATTGGGTTGGAGGCCATCGCTATTAGGCTCGCTCTTAGGTTGGAGGCCATCGCTCTTAGGTTGGAGGCCATCGCTATTGGGTTGGGGCCATCGCTATTAGGTTGGCTGCTGCTGCTGCTGCTCTTAGGTTGGAGGCCATCGCTCTTAGGTTGGAGGCCATCACTATTGGGTTGGAGGCCATTGCTCTTAGGTTGGAGGCCATCACTATTAGGTCGGAGGCCATTGCTCTTAGGTTGGAGGCCATTGCTATTAGGTTGGAGGCCATTGCTAGTAATTAGGTGTGTTGAAGTCCATATAACACAGCGACGTTCCGTTTCTGGTTTGACTGAGGCTCTGCCCCGGAGGCTTGCGCCGACTGCGCACGACGTGCCAGGACAGACCCACGCCTACTCGACTCTGCCTACTTGGACACCCAAGCCCTCTTCACCCCAGGTGGAAAGCCGTTGACCCGGCTGTTTAGTAGACAACTTCATGAAATGATGTCCTGACAATTCCTGGCCACATTTTTTTGACATGTCACTCTCTATACAGGAACGGAGACCCCAAGGTGGTCTTCGAGGAGCTGGAGGTACGAGCTGATGGAAGCTCGAAGCCACAAAGACTCCAAAGGGCAAAACAGTTCTATAGAAGTGTACTGACTGGTGTTGATGATTCAGCAGGTCTGTCATGGACCATATTGTTTATGTGTACTGTATATATACACAGTTGTCGAACTTGAATATCTTTACCATGCCGCAACTTTGGGCTGCAACTGGCGCTATCAAAGCACGGCAAACGCAGAAACATGGATGTGTGTGAAATCAAAATCCATGATCTTGTCAAGATGCACTGCCTCGAAGAGCGCTGGAGAACTGAAGGGTCGGCCAGCAGGATAAACACTATCAAACATTTGAGGCCAATCTAGGGAATCTGGGGAACCACTTCAACTCGGTTTCCTCTCAAGCTTGTTTTCTTTTTCCAGTTGGCTCCCACCCCCCGCGCTTTGTTTAGAGCATTGACAGGACAGACACACAGACTGTTGCTTCCAGATTGAGAGAAACGCGCAATCTACTGTATCCAGACTCTTTCGGGGATGCCAGCCCAAGATCTCGCAGGATGTTATATTTTCACTGTTCGTTTGTTTTGCTTCACTTTTAATGCTTGTGGTTCCTCTACTTTCCTTGACTACATACTTTGTCCAATTGTCGCTTGCTTGCCATCATACACATGGGGTGTACTGTACTATCATGGCGAGATGCCGAGATACTGCTGCCTGAACAAGCATTGCATCTTGGCCTGTACTGTACGGACCTGCAAGAATGGGTGATCACAGAACATGCCAAGCCTCCCCGAGGCTACTACTTGGCACATGAGCGTGTGGATGAGTTCGAAAGCGCTGTGGAATACATTTTTTTTTTTAAACAGATACAGATACTGGCTTGTATTTATACATATATACATACAAGCAACCACAAGTTGTTTTTGAGGCAAACTCCCTGATTGGTGATGTTATCTTGCAACAGTCCAGGCTACTGCTGCAAAGCCTGTGCCAAGTGGGAAAAGGACTGTTGAAGTTCTTGTGCTTGTGCTTAGTTAGACTGAAACAAGAATCTGCCCGTGCTCCAGGGGGGCTTCAAGAAGAAAACGTTCCACGGCCCCCAATGCCAGCGCGAACTTGCCCCGGAGAACGCCCCGAGAAAAAACAGCAGCCTTGGAGCCACCGAGGCTTGGAGAAAGGCCTGGCCTTTAACTCAAAAGGGGTCAGTGTCAAGATATGTCAAGATGATTCCAGCAGGGTTTTCACGCAGATGTGGACTTGTCCCACGATTGTTTGCCAGATGTGGATTACGACAGAGTTCACTGGGAAGGTGGCCGGAGGACCCAGCTGCGGGTGTTCACGTTTTTACATATTCCATGCACTAAAAAGTTATTCCAGGGTACCATGTGACCTCTTGGAATAATTTTTCTGGAATAATTTCCCTGGAATAATTTTTTTGGGGGGTGGGGTATCATTCTGACAGACAATTGAATTCTGCTTGAATCTTCGACCTCTGGCATACCCCTGGAATATTTTTTTAAACTCTCCTACTATGTAGGTCAAGGACCCCCAGAATAATTACTAATATGTAGAGAGATGTGGGGGGGGATGCATGACAGAGAGAGTTTTGTAATTGATTGTTGCTTTGCCGCCGTAGCTTGATTTCACTAAATTATTCCATATGTATGTTACCTCTGGAAGACTCACTGAATATTTTCTCCGGCAAGGTTTCAGCAAAGCTGTTATATTTGTATAAATTATTCCAGGGGGGGGGGATCAATAAGCGTCAATTAAGTTATTCCAAATGTCAAATGAAAATGGAATAATATGCACAATTTAGGTGGTGGGTATGCAGAATATTTCTTTTATTATTCTGAGGGGGTATGTACATGGGGGGGCCATCTAAGGCATGGTATATGTTTTTACATTTTCCCACCACTGTGAGTAAAGTCCATCTAAAGGGACAAGAACGGTCAACAATCAAAAAGAGGACTCATAGAAAGCAGGAACAACCAGGTGTAGAGGATTCAAAGGGTCCAAGAAAAAGAACAGAAACACAAAGAGGACAAAGGGTTTTGAGGTCCATTACCCATTGCGAGGCTTGTGGTAGGGGAAGAGCGCACGAACTGGTCAGTGCGAAATCGCGACATGAAGACATCCATCCCACGAACTCCAGGCTTTTTGTCAATGTGTCCATCATAAACCAGGGTATTGTGTATCATGGAGGACCCCTGGACCGCGAATCAACTCATGGTCATGCCAACAAGTTTTGTTTTCCGTGCCTCCAAGCGACAACTAGAAAGCTACTAGTCTTATTGTGCGACATGCCGTGAGTGGTAGCAGGTGTTGCAGGTCAGGGACGAGGAAGAGTTCTTGGCGATTGACTCCCCAGACTGCATGGCCAGGTGGGGCGGCAGACTGGTGGGTGTAGCAGATTGGAAGACGTCCCACCCAGGGGTCTTGGTCCAGCGTTCCCTGCAGGGTCCATGATCATCCACGGTTCGTTGATCAGTTCCTCTCGTCAGAAAAGTGATTCCTGGAAGACCAACCTCCGCTTCGCCAGTGATATAGGTAGAGAGCACCTGTTTGGTGCTCTGAGTCTTGAGTCACACTGTTTTCTGCGATGGTCTCCACAGCGTCTTCTGAAACATGTTGGAGACCATGCCATATACTTGGGCACTGGACACATGGACCACAAGTCAGTGAACGTCCCTAGGTTTTGCTTTTTGGAGGGTCAACACCTTTCACCAACCCACACTGACAGGTCCTCACCTGCTCGTCCATACGGAAATGGATGACCGGGTCTTCCAGTGGTTTAGTTTGGAGATATTCTGCCTGGTTAATGCTGCACCAGGCACCCATTCGCCTCAATTGGCGTTACACCTGTGCCAATAGCCAGATGGTGCAGCATTTGCTCCATTTGGTCTCCCCCAAATTTGTTGATACTCATCTAGAATCCAGACCTAACCAATTCACAAAACATGTCAGCACATGGCAGCTCCGTCCGGTCATCAGCTCTTCTCACCAGGTGATCTTCCGGTGATTTGTCCTGCAAGGGCCTGCCGCTCGGGACCTCGGCGCACGCACCGCTCGGTCGGCGCCAGGTATGGGAGCATTCCGGAGATCTTGGACGATGGGCGTACCATCGGCTTGGCGCTGGGCGACACGGTGGCGTCCCTCGGGCTGATGAAAAAAAGGTGGCACCTCGTGGGTGCTCGTGGGCGTGGAGCCAACTTTCCTAGAACAGGTGACATTGCAACCATGGTCATGGTAGGAGCTCCCGTAGGAGGTCTTCTGGACGTTCTTGAGTGGATTTTCAGATTTAATTTACACTTGATCGTTGCCTGAGGTTTGGCATTTGCCCGCAGAAGGAAACCTTGGTGGCGGTGAATGTGGCTCGGCTTCAGCTTCATGGGAATCGCTTTGCAATCGTTGCGGCACCGGAACAACACACATATATCATATAAATATATCATGTACACAATTATATGTATATAGATTGGGAGCTGGGTTGGCCTGTTTATGGAAGGGTCTCTGTCAATCTTAGAAACGATCTGTAAATTAGCAGCAGCTATACATTGAAGCTGACGGACTTTGGACATTACGGTATGTACATTATATATGTTGTAACTATTTGTGCATAATGTACATGTTTATTATTGAAGCTGACTCCGACGGACATTTTGCCTATTCATTGGGTTTTCGTGGTGAAACAAGACATGCAGGGCACCCATAGTGCAACCCTTCCAAAGATTTGGGAGAAATGGATGGCATGGATACTGAATGGACGCCGCTACGAACGGGGCTCCTGGCATCGCTACGAACCGAGCAAGTAGCTGGTCTGGCGCAGCTCACGTGACCTGGTCACAGGTCTGGCGAGTGAAACGACCGCGGACACAGGCGGGATGCGGGATGGGAAGGACGGAAGCGATGGGGCAATCAGAGCGGGTTGACCAAGCGCAAAACCACTGCACACCGCACACCCAACCGTTGTCTAGCTACCTGGGAAAAAGAAGGGGGAGAGATATGAGAGATCAATCTCCAAACTCTTCAATCCGTCGTTGTGAGATGCTATGACTCGATGAATCTAAAGGAGTCCCAGATGGAGTTTTGAATGAACTGCAGACTTTCGCACTTGTTCAGGTTTGTACCCGTACTTGTACCATTTCCTCATTCATGATGATTTATATATGCTGATTCATGATGATTTGTGATGATTTATGCTGATTTATAACGATTCAAGATGATTCATCATGTTGATTTTTGATGATTTATTATGATGATTTGTGATGATCTACAATGATTTATGGTGATTTATGATCATTCATGACGGTTCATGACGATGTATAATGATTTCTGATAGTTTAGGGGTGATAGTGATAGTGGCTCATTTCAATGTTTAAGTATTCTATGTGTGATTGTAGTTCTGGTTGAAGGGTGGTTAATTGAGCCGCGCTAAGAACCTCCCTGTTCATGTTTAGTAGTGGGCTTGTCATATGAATCCTTCGCGTAAGCAAACTCTGATGTGCGTAAGGTTGCGTAAGCGTTTTTTGTGAGATGAAACTTGCGTAAGCCGCGTAAGCAAGTCGAAATTTAACATACATGTCACATGTATTCTTGAAATGTTTGGAAATTCTATGGAGACCTTTGTTGATGAAGCCTTGCATTGGATCTTTTTCTTGGCAATTGGTATGGTCGAAGGTGATTGGCTCCACAGAAAGAAGGGTTCTTGGGGTTCCTGTAGTCATTTATATACAGGACATAGGCATCAGGACAGAGATTTTATGGGTCAACACATGCAAACATTACTCCTATAGCCATACAAACAACTCCCATAGCCATAAAGTCTACCAGCAGTTGTCAGACACACTATGTCACTATGCAGTTATCGGTTTTGGTGTCGGTAATACGCGTAAGGCGCGTGTAAGCTTCGCGTAAGCTGCGCGTAAGCCCCCCTCTCTTTTGTAGACGGTGGCCCACGATGCCTCCTAAAAAGCAGGCTTTTTCTGACTTGCAATGGCGCCAAAGGCAAAGCATTGTCCAGACCATCT